TATTATTCTAAACTCAAAGGGGACTCTATATACACCTCTACATGTTTTCTTGGCCTGAGGCAGTGTGTTGAGGCTGTTGACACTGTTAACATGCTTGACCTAGTATTTGCAAATTTCACTGATCTAAAGTCTGTTCCTGCCGACTCTGGGTTGGTTGCAACTGATATATATCACCCTCCTTTGAATATTGATGTTCTCTTACCTAATGTTAACAGTAATTTAAAGTGAGTGTTTAGTTATCAAAATTTCGCAGCAGGGAACTACGCTTTGCTTTACAACATTCTATCAACTTATGATTGGTCAAGCGTGTATGAAACCTCTTCTGTTGACGTAGCAGTCGCTAGCCTCAGTGTTGCTGTCAGAAGTGCCATGGAGCAGGCAATTCCTTGTGGGTATCGCTGCAAGTCTAAATTCCCTCACTGGTTCTCCTATACCTTAAGGCATTACATCATCAAGAAAAATTATTTCCACCATCGTTTTAAAAAGAATCCTTCTGATTACTTTTACGACAGGTTCGCCTATTATCGAAAACTAGTTAAAAATACCATCAAGTCTGACAGGCTTAGGTGGTTGAAGTCAGTTGATAACAATTTAAAGTCACAGCCCCAACTTTTCTGGAAATACGTGTCTAATTTCAGAAAACATAGATCCGGTTCCATTCATCTAGAAATTGATGGTACACACTTAGTCCAGCCTGAAGCTGTTGGTGATGCATTCGCTAAGCACTTTCAATCTGTTTACAATAACCACTGCTCTAAGGTCATTCAACTGTCTTGCAATCTTCTGAATTTTTATCCCTTGCCCCCGTTTCTGATGCTGATGTCTACAAAGCCATCAAGAGACTAAAACCATCAAAATCTGTTGGACTTGACGGTATTCCTGGTTTTATCATCAAAGGTTGTGCAGATATTTTTATTCCTATACTTAGGCATATATTTAACTTTAGCCTGATGCAGCAGTATTTTCCTGCTGCATGGAAAGAATCTGTTGTACCAGTATTTAAAAGAGGCAATCATGCCACTGTGAGGAACTACAGGCCTATTTCTATATCAGTAATTTCTCTAAATTGTTTGAATTCATTATTCATGACCATGTTTCTCATTTCGCTAAATTTAATTCCAACCAACATGGCTTTACCAGAACTAAATCTACAGTTACCAATTTGGTGACGTTTCTCGACTTCTTGACGCCTGTTATCCGCGGTCAGCGTCAAGCTGATGCCATCTATTTTGATCTTTCTAATGCTTTTGACCTTGTCCCTCATAATATGCTCTTGCATAAATTAAGCTCCTTCAGATTCTCTGATGCTTATGTTAGCTGGTTTCGCAGTTACTTAACCAACAGACAAGCCAGGGTTCGCGTTTCTGGCACTCTCTCCCTGCCTTTTCACGTAACGTCTGGGGTGCCACAAGGCTCTGTTCTGGGGCCTTTTCTTTTCAATGTATTTATAAATGACCTATGTGACTCCGTTAACTACTGTAAATTTCTAATTTTTGCAGATGATCTAAAAATTCTCCGCATTATTAACTCTCCTCATGATTGCCTCTTACTTCAATCTGACATTAATTCCGTGACTGGTGCACTGCTAACTCCATGAAACTTAATATTGCTAAAACGCGTGTTGTATCATACACCAGAAAAACAAATTTTCTGAGCTACGAGTATCAGCTTTGTCATGATATCATTACACACACCAGCAGTATTAAGGACCTGGGTGTTTTCTTTGATTCAAAGTTATATTTTCACACACATGTTAATTACATATTTTCTGAATGCATAAAGCTTTTAGGCCTTATTCGCTCCATTACCTACAGGTTTTCCTCCATGG